TCGACTCTGTAAGACAGGAAGCCTGGCTGATTTTGTATTCTCAGTGCCTGTCATCGAGGAAATGAAAAATAAACTAAAAGCAGGACAAGGAACACTGTTACAGAGGCACATCTAGCAGATCTTTGCAGACCAGATCAGTCCTACCAGACTGAAGGACTTGAGAGAGAGGAAGTAATTGAAGACTCGCAGCTCACAGGGTAGAGCTAGAGTTGGGCCTTTGCTGTCAATTCTGAATTGAAGCCTTCTTTACCAAATCTATTCTGAACGAGATGCTGTTGAACATGATGATTTACTTATAAATACACTCTACAATAGCCAACGCTATTCTGTGTTACAACATTCCTCCCACTTATTTGAATGTTTTTACGTCCAGTGTGTTGTTTGTGTGTGTGTGTGTGTGTGTGTGTGTGTGTGTGTGTGTTTTGTTTCCCTTATGGATTCATTTTTAAAGCTCTTTTGTCCCTTGTCTCATGCTGAGGGTACTTGAATTGATCTTCCTGATATCAAGCAGTATTATTTGCTGATAGTCATTTGCTAAAGAAACGTAGTAATAAAGACTCCTAATGCTCATTTCCCTATACTCAACAGTCATCAGAGAAGCTTCTTCCTATAGTAGATTGGAATTAATACAAAGACCCACAACCGGATAATGTCCAAAGAGACATTAGACAGAAAGGTTGTAAGATCCAGAGGCAATGGAAGATGCCTAAGAAACAGTGTCTTCTGGTATAACAGGATTGATACAAAAAGAACTCACAAGGACTGTGGCAGCATGCATAGGGCCTGCACGGGTCCAAACCAGACAGGATCCAGCACTGAGATGGGGAAGTAGGCACGAGCTCCTATCTCTAACCAAGAGGCTATCTCCAACTGATAACTGTTAGAAATGGAGTCTCAATGGGTATACAAACCACACTTAAGGGCTGCCCATGCCCAGCCTTAGATGGGCACAAAATGAACTCAGTGATATCTTAGGAATTTTTTTGTCTCATATTGCTTTGTGGGCTTTTTTTAAACCTCACTGCCATTTGGTTTTGAGGTTGTATGAGTTCTGCGTGTGTGTGTGCGTGTTGTGTGTGTGTGTGTGTGTGTGTGTGTGTGTGTGTGTGTGCATTTCTCATGCTTTCTTAGTTTCTTTTTCTTTGTTAGTTTACTTTTGCTGTATCCTTGTTTGTCTTTTTAATCACCTGTCTGTTTTTTTTTTTTTAAGAGAGGAAAAATGTGTGCAGTTGGAAGGGTTGGGAGATGGGGAGGATGTGTGAGGAGATGGGGACAACCACAATCAGAATATATTCTATGAAAATAAACTTTATTTTAAAAAATAGCTTTATTTGCTTGTTTGTTCCAGACAGGGTTTCTCTGTGTAGCTTTGGAACCTGTCCTGGAACTCACTCTGTAGACCAGGCTGGCCTCAAACTCACATAGATCTGCCTATTTCTGCCTCTCGAGTGCTAGTATTAAAGGCGTATGCTACCACTTGAAAAAAGATTAGTGATGTTATACAATTTTTAGTTTTCTTCATTAGCTTCTACTGATTAATGATCATGTCTTATCTTTTCATTGCTTAACAATAAGGCAATATATTAAAGACTTACTAATATTAAATTACATATGCATTCTTAGGAAATCTAAATTTCTTATTTGGGATCTTAAAAAGTTTTATTGGATTTTTGGTGGTTTTTTTGTATTTTATGGTTTTTAAGTGATAGAAATACACTGTTCTCTAAGGGTTTCTGTTCTTCAGTATTTCTTTAGAAACTGGTTTTATGAATTTATAGAATTAATTGGATAGCCTCTATGTTTAAAACTGTCTGTTATCCTATAGACACCCTCACCAGACATTACAGGCTGGTTACCTTCCAGAACTTGATAGTAAGACCCCATTGCTGAAGACACCATATGCTTGAGTCAAGGAGAAACCAAGCTGATACTGACCTGGAAGCTTCATCCCCACTGGCTAGCTTTCATAGATCTGGAAAGTTCCATACACATTACCAGGGAAGAAAGCCAATCACACCTTACCCTGCTGGAAATCCTGTGGGCTACAGTAATGACTGGTCTGGCAAGAAATGCCCACTGGTGCAATCATAACATGAACTAACATGGTAGTAAACAACAACTTTCTGATTGGATTTAAAGCTAGCTTAACAAGATGGAACTCTTTTTTTGTGGTGTAATGCAACTTCATCACTTTATTCAAATCTTCAAAATAGTCTCTATCTACATTTTTAATATAAAAAATCCACAAGTTAAGTGCACCACTGTGTACAGAGACATACACCACTGAACTTCCATAACAGTTGATGGTACAGTCAAACATCACATGTACAGAACACAAGATTTAGATGAACTGAAATATCAGATAAAATAAAATAAAATCCAATCTCGGAAGACAAATCAAAATATTAAGGATCCCTGAAATATTAATCCTAATGACATCTCATTGGACTCAAGTCATTTCATAGTGAGGCATTCACATGACCCTACTAACTAACCCATCACAGGAAACTCCTGGAACCCGACAGGCTGTACCAGACACACAGAAAATTAAAACCAGGTTTTAATCTGAAACGCCCCTTAATTTGGCTTTAAAGCCAAGCTTTTGATATGCATCTTCTTTGCCTTTCACTTTTCAAGAAACTTTTCTGAGACAGTTTGCACTACTGAACTGTTGTTTAAGTTCAGGTTCTGGCACCACAGCAAGTCTGGGTTCATGGTGATGCAGAGACTGTCTATGGGGTGGGTCCCAAAAGGTCCTTCACCTTCTCCTGGATATATATGAAACCCAAAGAAATGGGGTCTGTGCTCGGGGCACAGGGGGAGGGGTGACTTTAGAGGATCCTTAGGAAAGACAAGTTAAAAAATGGCAAGTGGGACAGGTGCAACCCGAGAAGGGCTGAGTGACTGGCTTTCTGTCCTGCACCACTGATTCAATGGAGACTAAAGGAAGGGGATGGAAGACGAAGGACAGAGCGGGCCGGTGGGGCAGATGATGGGAGGAAAAAGGCAGACAGCTAATGCGATTCATGTAACAACTACTATAAATCAAAGACTTAAAGGAGATTAAAGACCAATCAGAATAATTTGGCAACTTTAATTCTTAGGAAGATCAAAGTTCCCTCCAAACCTAATTTGATGTTTTATTACTAAAAGCGAAGACCAGTATGGTACAGTATCACTCCAGAGGAATTAAGGAAGAGCCTCGGGGCTGCTTCACTCACATTCATTTGAAGAATGGATGCCTCCCTACCTCAAAATGCTTTAGGGAGGGACTGCTACCCTTACATGGTTCCTTATTAAATTTGAAAAGTGCCTCAAAGTTTGGACACCAGAAAGACACCCCAAAAACATGTGTCTAAACTGCAACTTTGGGTTAATATGACTAAAGCAGTTACATTGTGAGAAGAGCTGATGGTATGTCATGTCTTTCCCGGCACAGGAGTGGCCACGGTTCTTCACCAAATGGTGTAGCCACCATCTGAGCCACCCATGAAAAAGTTTCCCTTGCGCTGTGTTACAAGGACGTTGGCTCCCTGAATGATTGCAAGCTGAGCAGCGTTGGGAGGGCATCCAGGAGGTGGAGGAGGAATGTTGCCAGTGGCAGCACCAGCTCCAAATCTGGCACCTGCACCATATCCTCTTTCCACCAGCACTGCTGAGCCAGGTGGATAGATGGGACCAACTGGATAGTAAGCCATGGGGATTGTGGAGCCTAAAGGCCCAACAGCCACAGACTGGGCCATAGGCAGATACAGAGAGGTGCCAGGGAATGCAGCTGACATAGTAGGGACTGTGGCAGCCCCTGGATGAACAAAGCTTGGACGATAGAGCTCTGAGTATGCAGGTGGAGCCTGAGGAAGATGTAAGGTCTGAGGATATACCGGATTCCCAGGAGGCTGCACAGGGTAGGTAGGCTGTGTTGGATATTGACCTTTGCTGTTCATGGTGGCTGTGGGTCCAGTCGGCTCAAGGACGGTTATTTTTCCCATCCTTTTCCTGTTCGGAGTCACTTCCTTGTCACCAAGATGGAACTCTTGTTCTGGTGCCTGGACCCGAAACTCATGCTGGCTAAGTCATAGGCCTTTCGGGGATAACCTAACATATCTGCTAAATGGACATAGTATCAAACTGCCACTTATATTTTTATGCTCATAGATCAGTACATGTTTCAATCCTTGTCAAAAAAAAAAGCTTCTTTTTACAGTAGAGACTGTGGATGCTCATCTCTAAAGGGAACATTTACATCACATTCCCTTTCTCCAGGGCTTAGAGATCATGGCAGAAAAGGGAAAATTGTAAGAGCCAGAGGTGGTTGACATCTGCAGTGAAACAGTACTTGCTAGACATGATGGGGCCATTGCCCGTGTGAACTCATGGTGGCTTTGACTGTGTGTCCAAGACCTGTATAAAATCAAACAAACTCAAATCCCAGCATGGATGGGGGAGGAGCTTATAAAGCCCCACCCCTAGCTGAGAAGCTACTGTCAATTGATGTTTACTGGGGCAAATAGAATCTGTTTTCATCAGGGATGAGGCTTCTGAGAGGCTACCCATGCTCCAATAGATGGTTCACACCCATGTACATACAGACGGCACTGAGTGGACTCCATGGCTTTAAAAAACAGCCCATGAAGTTGGGAGGGAAGGATGGTTTGAAGATATGGAAGGAATTGGAGGAAAGTGCATGAGGGTGGATTTGATTGATTAAAATAAATTATATGCATGTATGAAATTCTCATCAAAAAGGAAAATTAATTTTTAAAAATATTATGAGCTTGGGCTGAGGAGATGGCTCAGGGAATAGAATGCTTGGCTCTGAAAGTGAGGACTGACTTCGGATCCCTAAAACTCATGTGAAAGCTGGGCAGGTGTCATATCGGTCTGTAATCCTAGCCCTTGGGAGACAGAAACAGGCAATTTCCCCAGGCCAAGATGGTTAGATAAAGTAGGTGTAATTAGCAAACTCCAAATTCAGGGAGCGATCATGCTTCAATGAATACAGTGGAGAGCAACTGAGGAAGACATGTAAGGACAACCTCTTGCTCACACACACACACACACACACACACACACACACACACAGGAACACACAGCCTCTCCCCACCAGCACATGAGTTTTTTTTTAAAGGTGTATGATCTTTTTTATGACTCATACAACTCATCTAAGATTTTGGTGAGTTATATACAGTACTTATTCATGGAAAACATCACTCACAATTTTGTGTTAATCTAAATCTAAATGTTTCCACAGAGTGACCAAAGTATCATAAACATCTACAGACCAGCTCTACTTACTTCCATTCCCAGAAGTTTTAATGCTTTCGGCTGCACAAGGAAGAAGCAGGAAAAGAAATGCATTTACTCAGAGAACTGTGAGTACCGTGTTATTAAGTCAATACTCTGTATCACTGCTAATTAATGACAATATCCACGTGAGGGAATGCCTTCATATGGAAACTGCTTCTGTCAGCAGAAGTCAGTTGGGAAAGATATACAGACACACAGCCCTCCTTGTAAGATCTCCCAGCACAGATTGTGGAGTAGGAGTGAGGAATACTCCCCACAGATCTGATGTTTACATGACTGAGCTTTTGACAGGCTGGAGCAACAAGAAGCTCAATTTGGGTAGAGGAATGGGATCTGTTGTAGAAGGGTGGGGATGGCTTGCCACAGCTGTCTTGGATTCCTTGGATGTACTGTGAGTTTGGCTATAATTGTTTGAGCAGCAGGGAGCCCTGGATTTGGGAGGGGGCAACAGATGCTTTCTCATGCCCATTGCCTTAGAAGATGACAGCAGCTCCAGTGATGGGTGGGAGGGCTGGTTGTAAAAGTAGAGACATGGGACTCAGGAGGAAGGCTATTGTGGGGAAAGAGGGAGGGCAGCCATGCTTGACAGATTGCACTGACAGACTCAGCATTAGAGGTGTTGTGAGTGGCTGCACATGGAGCTGGGAGGCCTCACATTGGGGGTCAGGGCAGAGGCATCATGGGTGTACTCTGGGACAGATGGCGTGAAGAGCTAGGAAGCACATCAAGGAGCCACATGCCACTCTGGGAGATACAGGACACTGTGCGTCTGCCAATCTCTACCCTCTTAGGGCCAAACAAGTTGTTGTAGAGAGTCCGGAAGCTTTTACGAGTGTAGTTGCAGCGGTAGGCGCCTCCCATGAGATACTCCAGCACCAGCCCTATGTCGATGAGGCTGATGTGGTAATCAGGTGGAAGGTTGCTCTATAAAAAAAGAAAGTCGCAGTCAGGACATCATCCCCCAAGTTAGGTATGCGTCATCACCCCGGTAGCAACTTGGCTGTTACTATAACAACCATGTTAAGTCTGTTACCATATGATACTCAGGCATGGCAGGTTAAACCACATTCCAAAAACTGGCACCAGCTCTTCCATTGAGAAGAAAGAGTTAGACGCCCAGTCACTGCAGAGTCTATGGCACACCCATCGCCAGACAGAGTGGTTTGTAGCTGGTGTGTGGAGATGGAGGGAGCGCTGTGCAGTGCCAGCGCAGCTTAAGCAGATTTATTTGTAAGACACATACCCTTGATAGCCCCATGGAGAGGAGAAGCTAGCCTCAGGGAAGGGAAGCTAGCCTCACGGGAACCTGTAGGAGGGCAGCATATTTTTCAGGGCTTGAGCCTCTCTGGTGAAAGCTTCAGTGGTACTCAGTGACTCTGGAGGACGCTGGATCTTCAGTCAAAACACAACCAGAAGCTTTATGCTATGACAGGGAGCCACCAAAGGGACCGAATCTTATCAATGTGGAAGAGGGTCTGCTGGGACAGGGTCTACTAGGTGTTGAGAAACAGTGGCCTGAAGAGAGGTACCCACTGCATTGTTCCACTTATCCACATCCTAAACAGACTGATACAACATTGTGCCAGTTGAGTTTGTAACAACTGAGATGATTTTGGTACACTGGGACCTATTGAGTGTCACTTTTATAAGCAGACTAGCTACACTGGCTGAATCCTTTGCTTGTGAAATCTGCATTTGTTCAGATCCTCTTACGATCATTGGCCATGTGTATTTCTTACTCATGGGACTTTTTCAGTGCTGAGGACTGAGCTCAGAGCTTCATATATGGTAGGCATGCACTCTGCTGCTGAGCTACATCCCAGCAGATTTCTTATTGGCAACAAGGAGCCACATGCTGGGGAGATGGATGAAGCTGTGAAGAGCGGAGTGCAGCATTGCTTGGAACTCACAGGGAGTGTCTGGAGATGTCCAGACAGGTTGTTTAGGGGGAATAAGGGCAGCCAGGGGATGATGACATGGGAGCCATAGAGCAGGGTCTATGGGGTAAAAAGAGAAAGAGCAAGTAGCTATTGATGGATGTGAGGTGGTGTGGCCCAGACAGAATACTGTCTCCTAGGGCTCCCTATGTTCAGGTGGGTCAGTGTAGAGCATGGTGGAGTGTGGTAGGAGGAGTAGGGTCTCAGGCATGGGCCAGGCCCAGTGGGAATGTATGTGTATGGGAACAAGCTTGAACCTCATACTGCAACCATGGAAGAATTTGGGGTGGTGATTCTGAAGAAGGAATCAAGTGGTGGGTGTGGAGACTACAGGAGAAGGGGCAGTGATTGAAGTCAATCAGCTGGGGAACGGTTGGCTTGATGGCTCTCACTGTGAAAGTTTGTGCTTTCTCATCTTTCATCCACCTGGAGCTTGAGGGAGGAGGCAGAGAACCTGTGTGTGGAACAAGGCACTGCGCCAGAGGGCCTCTCTCTGAGGTCCTCAGTTCTCAGATCCACAGATCATTCTGCTCTGTTGAAATCATACGCTCAGATTCTTAGCACTGAATATTGATAAGAAAAATGGCCAGGCCGTCCAGGACTCTCAACAAAAGCCCCACTGTCTCATTCTAGAGACTGAGTGCTCCTGTGAGAACCTGATCTCATCTCTAGCTTGTGATGACAAGACACAAGAGATGTCAGGTTAGAACCCAGTGGGCAAGACCTCACAGGACACAGGCTGTCCATAGTGGGGAGCCCTGGAGAATGAGGAGAGTGATTCCCCTTAGAAATGAAGGAATTGCAAAGGCCAAGACCCTCTGATGCAATAAGCAGGACACACAGATCTCCTGAGGAGCCTCCTGTTGGCAATTCTGGAGTCATCTTGGTGCTACAGAATCACCCTGCAGCATCGGTGTGCTCTTGTGCTGTGAGAGAGCTTATTCTACCTCCTGCTAATTTAAGTTTTATATTTGCTTTCCGCATGTACATTTGTTTGTTTTGTATGCATGCATGTGTGTATTTGTGTTTGTGTGTGCAGGTACACATGCATGCATGTGTGCACATGTGTGTGGAGACCTGAGGTTGATGTTTGGTGTCTTCCTCAACCCCTCTCTACCTTATATATTGAAGTAGAGGCTCTAATGAACCTGGAGCTTGCCAGCTTACTTCAGGGATTCGCTGTCTGCCTCTGGCAGGCTAGGGTTATGGGGGTTGGGGGGTGGAGGGGTGGAGGTGGGAGGAAACATGATCATCCAGCTTAGATTTAAAATGTGTGTGTGTGTGTGTGTGTGTGTGTGTGTGTGTGTGTGCTGCAGTGCAACTGTGGAGGTCAGAGGAAAACCTGTAGAAGTCACTCCTGTCCTACTGTGTGAGTCCCAGAGACCAAACTCAGGTTCTCAAACTTGTCAGCAAGTCCCTCACCTGCTGAGCCACCTCACAGAACCTCACCTAGCATTTACTGGATTCTAGAAGTCCAAACTCCTATTCCAAGCACTTAACAGCCATCTCTCTCACCCTTTATTCTTCTCTCTCTCTCTCTCTCTCTCTCTCTCTCTCTCTCTCTCTCTCTCAGTTTTTCAAAACAGGGTTTCTCTGTGTAGCTTTGGAGCCTATCCTGGCACTCACTCTGGAGACCAGGCTGGCCTCGAACTCACAGAGATCCACCTGCCTCTGCCTCCTGAGTGCTGGGATTAAAGGCGTGCATCACAA